GTGGAGCCCATATCCAGGTTTAGGGATGAAAGGAGAACAAAAGATGATGATGTTCTACGGGGCACAGGGAGTGTTTGCCTGTCCTCTTACAGTAGATCCACACGGGGTCAAGAACGTATAGAAGATTTGTAGATTGGTACACATCTGGTATAGATATTATAGGCTGATGTCATATGACGTCTACTTGGGAGATCAGGAAAGGAGTTAAAGAGTTCAGCATCATCTCCAGAATTCTAGAGAGAGCAATGTTCCTTCACTGGATTTTTTTTGGCCACAACACCACAAATGTTGCTCCAAACCTGCCCAACTTGCTCGATTTAGCTTCCTGCAACTTCTCCCTCTTCCCTGAAACGAACTTTAAGTTGCTTTGACGCAGTGTAAGAGATTCGTGCTCGACATATTTACATAACAGGACTTCCTGGGAGCATTAAGACTGTCGCAGGAGCACTGGGAGCAGAGCATCACTGCACAAGGAGGCTAATTTGACAGGGATGGCGTCCACATTTAAGTTTCTTTTTGGTCACACTTTTATTTCACTCAGTGGTTTTCAATACTAGATGTCGGACACCTCCAAATGGTCACCAGATAAATCAGAAGGGTTGTGTGTCTCACAACTTTTTGATTGACTCTTGTGTTCGAGTAGATCCCAAAAATAAAGCAACAAAACAGAATATGGGTTCCTTAAAGTCATCTATGCACTGTGTTGGTGTTAGACTGAATATATAAACTAAGAGAAGCTTTTCAAAGCAGGTTCATGATCAGGTTGTTTCTCGCTGCTTCCTCACATTTTTCCTACTTCTGCTGTAAACAATGACAGAGAAAACGCAACAAGTTCACAAACGCCAACACTCCTGCTTACAGCTGTTTGGATGTTTTAACCCGAAGACGACAGACTTCGTCTTCACAAGATTAATCTGGAAATAAAAATCAGTGCATCTGTGCAGACTGTGGTTCTGAGACCGGACAGAGCTTTGAATGTGGCGGACGTCCTGCTGCTGCAGCTGCCTCCTCCTCCTCCTCCTCGGCGTGTCGGTGTAAACATGGACGAGCGCTGTGCAGAGACGAAGATGCAGACATCACAGTTTAATCAGGCACACAGGAACGCTAACTCAAGCACAATCAAAAGCTTATTTCCCCAGACATCAGCAGCCCTCATATCCTGTAATTTGTTGTTTTTCATAAGCAGCGAGATGAGCAGGAGGAGGCGGCCTGACGGAGGACCAACAGACATGAAGACAGACAGATGGACGGACGGAGATGCTGCAGAGGGGATTTGGTTTCTAATCCCAGCGCTGCTCGTGCGGCGTCTTCCTCACTTTTTTCTTTTTGCACTTGGCTCTAATTATCCTGCAGAGAAACAAACTCAATTTGTCAGCCGGAAATTTAATTGAAGTTTCTGCGTGGAAATCATTTTACGGCCGTGAAGAGCGCTCTGGAGACGACAGCTTCTTATTATTAGTAATAGTTCTTTTAGTAGTTTCACTTCCAGGAACTGCTGCACAGATTCAACAAACCACCTTCACACAGCAGCTGTACGGATCTCCACAGTTCCCTCCTTTCATAGCTCCGTGAAAACATTTCGGATTTGCTTTTGAAGATCTTCCTGGAGCTGTTTCAGCGGCGTCATGAAAACTCTCAACAACTCTGATGAAGGCATAATTCATGTTGAAACTAGTGATTTACTGAAGATCTCAAGTGTGTTTCTGGTATTTTTTCAGTTTCTGCTGAAGCTTTGTGTCAATGTTTTGCAGAGAGCCATGACTGGTAATGAAACTCTTGGTTTCTTTTGAAGTCAGGCGGCTAAAAAAAAAAAAGGAATGTTTTCTGCTTTTTAAAATCAAAAAATTCACGATGAGTTTGATGTGGTACAATGTGACGTGGCCTCTCTAAAGCTGGCACAAATGTAAACAGGTTATCGCTGTCAGTTGGTGCTACCGTTAGCATAAACCAGCTAGCCTAGCTACACTTTCTGTTCACTGCTAATTAGTAAACGTTAGCATGCTAACATGCTACACAAAGACAGTGGTATCTGTAAACAATGTACCAGCATTTTAGTTTGTTGGGACGCTGACGTTAGCATTTAGCTCAAAGTACCACAGTCTGGATACTTGATATTTACCTGCACAGGTGGAAATGGATTGAATGTGTTGTTGGGCTTTTTGTTTCCTTCTGAAACTGCAATATGTGCTGTACCGTTTAACTTCAGTCAGTATTGATAATACTGGCAGATTTCCGATAAAGGCCAGATGGAGATCCTGCTCCAGAACTGCATCAGCATTGTAATCATAAAAACAGAAAGGCAAATAATTAAAACGAATTAAGTTTTTTAGATTTTGAGTGCATCATGAAATGTATCTTAAAGTGTCGAGGAATATGGTGATTACACATTTCTTCTTCCTATTTTTTTTTTTTTTTTAAATTCTTGCACTTCTAATTTTATTTTATTTTATTTTTTAGGTTTTGTTTTATATGACGAGGACAGAAATAAAAATCATTTAAAAATTGTAATGAAGTTAAATTAATAAATGGATCTTCGGGACTTCTGGATCATCAATCTTTTATTATTTCTGACTTATCAACAGAAAATGACAGAATTTATTGATAAGTTTTACACTTATCCAAAATAATGAAAA